GCGGCCCGGGGGGGGGAGGGAGCGGGAGGGGGGGGAAGGGGGGGGGGCGGCCGGCAGGGCGGGAGGGGGGGGGGAGGGGGAGCGAGGGAGGGTTTATCGACCGGGCGATTTTGGTTAAAATATTCAAAATGGCGGACGGAGGAGCAGCGAGTCAAGATGAGAGTTCAGCCGCGGCGGCAGCAGCAGCAGGTAATCATTACAGCGTTTTACATATTCATATTCATACTCAACCCCGGCTCCCGCGGCCCCCCCCCGCGACTTAGCATAATTTATTAGTACTCAGGATTATTATAATTAACGGCGAGGAGATGGGGGGCCGGGGAGCACAGCCCCCGCCGGGCGCCGAGCGGAGGGGGAAAGGAGCTCCGAGCGGCGGGGCGGAGGGGGAAGACCCGGGGCCAAGGGGGCTGCGGCCCTCGGCGCTGTTGCGGCCCCCGTACTGCCGCGTTTCGCGGCCCAACCCGCCGGCCCCGGCCCTCCTCCGCCCGCCACCGCCTCCTCGCACGCACTGAGCCCGAACCCAAGTGGGTCGGCGGCGGGCAGCGGGGCCGGGGCACCGGGAGAGGACAATAAAGACACTTTACATATTCATGCCGGCGGGGCGCGGCGGGAGACCGGGCCGGGTGGGGGGGCGTGGAGGGGCCGGAGGTGGCGGCGAGCACAATGCCGGGCGGGCTGCGGGGCCGGAGCGGACACGGGCGGCTGGTCCCCCGCGCGACGGTCCCGTGGGGTTGGGAGCGGGCCGGGGTCCGGCCCGGGGGGCGCTGCTGGCCGCGGGGCTCCGGGAGAGCGTCCTGCCCGCGGCCATGCGGGGGTCCGATCCCAGGGGTCACGGCTCGTGTCCCTCGGCCGCGCCCTGTTCGTGCCCCGGGCGGCGGCCAGACCCTAGCGAGGCCCGCCCTCAGGGTGGGCGCCGCGAGCCCGCTCTGGGGTCCGCTCTTGCCCCTGGGGGCCAGGCTGGTGGGAGGGGCCCTCGGGGAAAGTTCCCCTGCGTGGGGTTAGCCTCTGGCGCTCGTGTGTCCGGGTCCGGCTCTCGGCGGTTCCCGCGGGCCTGGGGAAGCCCCCGCGGCCGTGGGATCGCGGGACAGTTGGGTTGGAGGAGTCCGCGGAGTCTCGTCTCCCTACGCGCCCGCTTGCCACGCGCGGGTGGCCCCGGGGCTCCTCTCGCTCCGACACTCCGGAGCTCGTGTGAGGGTTGCCCTCCTGCCCCTAAGGACTGGCCTGACAAGTTGGCCCTTTTCTCGGTTTCCCCTCTCCTGGTGGGGGGTGGGTGGCGGGCGCCGGAGATCCCCTCCTAGGCGCTGTGCGGTGGTGCTTTCTCCGCTGGGTCCTCTACTCGGTTAGTGGAGCCTCTTCTCATTTGAATAATGTCTAATTCGGGGAGGTTTATATTATTGAAATGGCCGCCTGGCTTTCCCCGCCTCTCATGTTTAGTAATTCAGACCTTTAATAACAGCCACTCACAGCCCAACGTCGTGTTTATATTTTACATTCGCCCCATGTGCTTTTGTGGTTCGATATGATTCTTCTTTTTTTTTTTCTTCTTGGCAATCCACAGGGCTCTGAGATCAAACCCAGGCTTGCCTGGGAAGAGGAGGAGGGAGCTAGGCCTGGGCTGCTCTTGTAGTTGCCTAGGCCTCATGTTCTCTGCTGCTGCTTGATTTATTTACTAATAACCAAAATGACTCCCCACCAACTGCCGCTTGAGTCCCCTCCTCCGCAGGCAAAACACATCCTCTTGGGGCCAGCGTTAAAATACCTCATAGCCAGGCATCAGCTCCGTGATGACTTATTTTCTTCTAAAAACTTTGTCTTACCGTTTGCCGTAATGTGGACCTTATTTCCCATTTTCAGAGGCTATGAGGTCTGTTTTGGCTGAATAGGAATAGAGGACTTTGTTGTGGGGAATAGTCCTTCTTCTTCCCAGGTTAAACACATTCAGGCTTTGTTAGGATTTGTAGTAATTGTAAAACCAATAGTTTTTGTCTTTTCCAGGAGTTGTGGAGTAGCTAAGTATTTCAGCAATTCCAGTTGGAGAGCACTTCCATAATTTCTCAGCAATGCCCCCTTTGCAATGTCGGTATTCTAACTGTAAGCAAGGCTGACGTTAATTTGTGCTCGCCCTTAGTGGGGTTGCTTATTTTAATTGTAACACTACTGAAAACAAATGGAGTTATGTTTTCTTAGAGTGTTTGTGTCATGGTTAAATGAATGAAAATAGAAGAATAGACACAGGCATTGTATCTACCCTGCTCTTGGAACTTACTCTCAGCTGCCCACCCCTTGCTTTAAGTTGTCAGAATTGATTGTATGTTTTATCTAGACTTAGGACAGTTGGCCGGTGAAAAGCAGATTAACGTTTACTGTTTAGAGGAAACAATAATTTGATTTTTGATCTTTACTGTAGGAACGTTTTCTTTAACATTTTTATTTTGTGTAGTTGGAATGTGTTTAAAATAGTGTTGCTTTCTAAGGGTAGTATATGAGGAGTCATAGTTACTGTAGTAAACCTTTGAGATCACACTAAGCCACTATGGTGAATGGCTAGCTACATATTTTGTGGCTCACCATATACGAAGATATGTTAGCGCTACTGTTTAATTTGTAATGGAATTCCAGATTTAGCAAACTCATTTTAAAAAACTAGCTCTCACCATTTTCCTTCCTCTTTCACATATAGTAGGTAGGTCTTGAATGCAGTAGAAAAAAAATAGCTTTCATCAGAGTGGTCAGGTGAATAACTGCTTCAGAGAGCTGAAGCATGAGGTTGGATGGACAAAAAGCAGTAATATGATTTCATGCCTTAATAGCATATGTTTTTGTACCTGATTCCCAAGATGTGGTCAAACTGATGATGTCATTGGACAGAGGACAAGGTGCAGTTAATGTGATTTATTGTCCTGAGGTGAAGTGTAGCAGTGGAGCCTTCTCATAGGGAAACCATTTATCTCCGGACAATTTCCTTTACAGCTGCAATTTAACCACCACTAGGGCTGTAGATATTTTATCCAAGATGATAAAATGTACATTGCATTTTACAAACCAAATTTCACCCGTAAAGTTTTTGTCATATAGAAAAAGGGTAGGTATTGTGAAGTGGCCTTATATTTTAGTTGACTGTCCTTGCTATAGTAAAAATTCATTACCTCAAAATTTTAATTGGAGACTATGGACTTTAAATAAGTATAGAAGTAGTCCATATACCAGCTTATTTTATGCTGTTATTAGTTTGTAATCTCTGGAACACTTTTGAGAAGCTATTTCTATTATTATTAGTTTGTAATCTATGAAGCACTTTTAAGAAGCTATTTCTATTATTATTTGTAACCTCTGAAACACTTCTAAGAAACTATTCTATTATTACTATTATTGTTATTATTAGTTTCTAATCTCTGAAACACTTCTAAGAAGCTATTTCTTAATCAGGATATGGCCCAAGCCTATGGGGAGACCATTTGCCTTAGAGCCTTTAATGACTAAAGCTGAGTTGGAAGAAAATGAGGGCAATATTTTTTATATTCAAATTATCATATTTAAAATTAGGTAAAAGCTTTGAAATAGCTTTTAAAAAGAATTCAGATTTTTTTTTTTTTGGATTTGCTTATATAAGTGCATTTTGTTTTGATTGGTAGTTTAAAAATCTTGCTGTTGCATGTTACAAAGTGGTGATGTCCAAGTATGATTTTTGATTAGTTAATTTTCTTCTTAGGCATTTCTTATATTTTTGTTGGCCATCTGAAGGTGATGACTAAATTATTTTGGGAGTGTGGTAAAGTGACTGTTTCATTCCTGACCCTGTTACTTTGGAGTCCTTATAAGCTCACAACATCTGTCTCCTTTTGCATCTGTCCAGCAGGTTCCTGTATGGGTTTCTAGAAAACCTGTTGTCACTTCTTTTTTAACTTGCCCCACCTATTAATTATTATGGAGCTTTTGAATTAAGGTCTTCAATGCTCATGACAACTGACCAAATGTTTTTAATTTCTAAAAGACTGTTCTTCCAAGTCTTTACTGTAAAAGTAATTGTTAACCTCTTCCCTTAAATTAACTTTTGATTCTTTTCATTTTTTCATGGTCAAAAAATGCCTGTAGTCAAGGAAAAACAAACAGTGGCTATTATTCTGTTTTAAATGGTGTAGTGTTCTTACATATTTAAATTTATTATTCTCTGCATCAGTAGGCACTTTACAGCCAAAGAAACAAAATGCTTCATTGCAGCCTAGGCTGAAGTAATTGTTAATCTGTAATTTACCTGGTCAGTAGATTTGTGAATAAGTTTAGGATGCAAATTGTCAAACTGCCTTTGATCAGGTCACCAAAGATGTTTTATAGAGCCTTTATTATCATAGGCAGGTGGCTTTAAAATGACAGAACTAGAAATACTTTCATAAGTGTTTTTCATTTAAAAATGAAATATTTGAGTTGTTTCTTGAATCTGTATTGCTTGATCTTGAAGAGGGGTGTGTGTGTGTGTGTGTGTGTGTGTGTGTGTGTGTGTGCTGGCTACTCTTAGACTATTTCCTTTGTACTGAGAAGACTGTAATAAGTAGTGGTAATTGCCTTAGTCCTTTTTTTTTTTTTTAAATGCTGGAAAACCATAGCCTAATCTTTGCATTTTAGTCATTAACAGTGCTATTAAAAATACTGACACACTGGCCGGGCATGGTAGCTCACGCCTGTAGTCCCAGCACTTGGGAAGCAGAGGCAGGCGGATCTCTGTGAGTTCAAGGCCAGCCTGGGCCACATAGTGAGTTCCAGGACAGCTGGGCTATAGGGAGACCCTGTCTAAAAAAAAAAAAAAAAAAAAAAAAAAAAAAAAAACCCAAAATACTGACACAGGACTGCCATCAGTTTGCTTTTTACATTAGTATTGATTCAGTAACACAGTTCGGGAGATTAGTAATGATGTGTTTTTCCTAATGGAAGTTATTTCAGTTAGACTCATTCAGATAATTATTGTTAAAGGACAGAACAAATCACAGATAAAACGTGTCCCTTTTTGGTCTCCACTTATTTGTTTCATCATAGAAATCTAATATTGCATTTGAGGTGAAAGTTGTGGCTTTGGTTCAGTGACACATCTACCTTATTTGAATTTCTATACTCTCCCTGAATTAATCCCTTGGTGGGTGGTTTGTTTGTTTTTTGAGACTAGGACTTGTTAGGTAGTCTGTATGGCCTTGAATTCC